AGGGCCCGGGGTCAGTAGGGGGCCCAATGAGATGCCCCTGGTACCTTTTTCATAGGCTTTTTTGAGTTTGGGCAAGGACACAGGGGCCCCATGATCCCCTATTGCCCGGGGGGTCAGTAGGGGGCCCCATGAGATGCCCCTGGTACCTTTTTCATAGGCTTTCTTGAGTTTGGGCAAGGACACAGGGGCCCCATGATCCCCTATTGCCCGGGGGCCCCATGTGTTGTCAGTCCGCCCCTGCCCTCAACACCCTCACCTAACAAGGATGGGTTCCCACTCTTAGGCTGGCCATAGATGGGCCGTTTATCTGCCAAATTGTCGGCCAATAAACAAAATATCGGTCGTTGCTGCCATGGATGCTGCCACCAGTGCTTACGAAAAATGGCCGTTTTTTCTTGGATTTTCCACCATGACCGATAAAAAGAAATATTGGCCGTGAAAATTGGCCGACGGCATTGCCCCACTAACGGTGTGAATATCGGCCGATTTTTCATTTGGACGAAAATTCGGCCGATAAATGGCCCGTCTATGGCCTGCATTACCCTCAACATTCTCATCTTCCAAGGCTCTGTGGCAGGTTCTACCCTGAACACACCCAGTCCAACTGCCTCTACCCCTGGGGGAAATTTACTAAACCTGGAGCACTCAGAATCTGGTGCAGCTGTGCATGGTAGCCAATCAACTTCAGCTTGTTCAATTAAGCTTTGACAATAAAACCTGGAAGCTGATTGGTTTCTATGCAGAGCTGCACCAGATTTGCACCCTCCAGTTTTAGTAAATCAACTCCTTTTGGTCTACTGTTATGACTATATTCAGGTAGATGACTGATTTTTACTAAGCAACTCAATAGGGAGGAAGCTCAAAGTTCATCTTCAGATAAACGACAATGACGTGGATTGCTCAAGATGCCATTGATAGTAGTGGGGCGGTGATGTGAACACAGTAGTTTCCAAGGTTGTGGACCGACATTTCTTAAAAACACCCACGGCCTTGCCTTCTACTCACATATCCATCATCTCTCCTTGCATTATAGCTGGAGATTTTATTTTTACTATGAGGATTACTTGAAAAGGCCCTCAACACTACTACCTACCTAGGCTTTGTGGCCACCCTTAACCTGAAACCATCCACACCTATGACCACTCTTTCTCGCAACATCTCTCTCATCTGATACAGCTCTCAACACCGTCACCTAACAGGAATGTGTTTGCCACTCTTACCCTCGACGTTCTCATCTTCCAAGTCTCTGTGGTTACCTCCACCCTGAGCATCACTCAATAGGTATGCCACCCTTACCCCAACACTATCCACACTCTTTCCCCCACATCTTTCTCATTTGACTCAGCCCTTGACACCCTCACCCAGCAAGGTAATGTTGCTACTCTTACCTTCAAAGTTCTCATCATCCAAGTCTCTGTGATTACCTCCACCCTGAGCATCACTCAATAGGTATGCCACCCTAATGCACATCTGACAGCCCTTAACACCCTCACCCAACAAGCAAGTGTTGCTACTCTTACGTGTTCCTTTCACACCCAGTCAAACTGCCTCTACCTTTAGGCCTACCATTATTACAATACTCAGGTATATATCTAGCTGACTTTTGCAATGGGGTTAAATGGCAAGGCTTCACGCTTCAGCATCCTCACCTACCTAGGCTTGTAGTCACCCCTACCCCAACCTCAGTACTTTTACCTACCTAATCTCTGTTCCCACCCTTACCCCAACACCATTCACACTCTTTCCCCCAACATCATTCTCATCTGACTCGGCCCTCAACACCCTCATCCAACAAAAATGTGTTGGCCACTCTTACCCTCAACGTTCTCATCTTCCAAGTCTCTGTGGTTACCTCTACCCTGAGCATCACTCAATAGGTATGCCACCCTTACCCAGATCTGACACGGCCCTTAACACCCTCACCCAACAAGCAAGTGTTGCTACTCTTAACCTAAACTTTCTCATTTTCCAAGTCTCTGTGGCCACCTCTACCCTGAGCAACACTCATACCTGTTCCTTTCACATGAAGTTAACTGCCTTTACCTTTAGGCCTACCATTATTACAATACTTAGGTATATATCTAGCTGACTTTTGCAATGGGGTTAAATGGCAAGGCTTTGCGCTTCAGCATCCTCACCGACATAGGCTTGTAGTCACCCCTACCCCAACCTCAGCACTTTTGCCTACCTAGGCTCTGCTGCCACCCTTACCCCAACACCATCCATACTCTTTCCCCCAACATCATTCTCATCTGACACGGCCCTCAACACCCTCACCCAACAAAAAAATGTTGGCCACTCTTACCCTCAACGTTCTCATCTTCCAAGTCTCTGTGGTTACCTCCACCCTGAGCATCCTCAATAGGTATTCCACCCCTGCCAAATCTGACACAGCCCTTAACACCCTCACCCAACAAGTAAGTGTTGCTACTCTTACCCTCAACGTTCTCATTTTCCAAAGCCTCTGTGGCCACCTCTACCCTGAGCAACACTTATACCTGTTCCTTTCACACAAAGTTAACTGCCTTTACCTTTAGGCCTACCATTATTACAATACTCAGGTATATATCTAGCTGACCTTTGCAACGGGGTTAAATGGTAAGGCTTCACGCTTCAGCATCCTCACCTACCTAGGCTTGTAGTCACCCCTACCCCAACCTCAGTACTTTTACCTACCTAATCTCTGTTGCCACCCTTACCCCATCACCATCCACACTCTTTCCCTCATCGTTCTCGTTTGACTCGGTCCTTAACACCCTCACCAAACAAGGAAATGTTGCCACTCTTACCCTCAAGGTTCTCATCTTCCAAGTCTCTGTGGTTACCTCCACCCTGAGCATCACTCAGTATGTATGCCACCCTTACCTAGATCTGACACAGCCCATAACACCCTCACCCAACAAGCAAGTGTTGCTACTCTTACCCTCAACGTTCTCATTTTCCAAGTCTTTGTGGCCACCTCTACCCTGAGCAACACTCATACCTGTTCCTTTCACACAAAGTTAACTGCCTTTACCTTTAGGCCTACTATTATTACAATACTTAGGTGTATATCTAGCTGACTTTTGCAATGGGGTTAAATGGCAAGGCTTTGCGCTTCAGCATCCTCACCTACCTAGGCTTGTAGTCACCCCTACCCCAACCTCAGTACTTTTACCTACCTAGGCTCTGTTGCCACCCTTACCCCATCACCATCCATACTCTTTTCCCCAACATCATTCTCATCTGACACGGCCCTCAACACCCTCACCCAACAAAAACATGTTGGCCACTCTTACCCTCAACGTTCTCATCTTCCAAGTCTCCGTGGTTACCTCCACCCTGAGCATCACTTAATAAGTATGCCACCCTTACCCCAACACAAATGTTGCCACTCTTACCCTCAAGGTTCTCATCTTCCAAGTCTCTGTGGTTACCTCCACCCTGAGCATCACTCAGTATGTATGCCACCCTTACCCAGATCTGACACGGCCCATAACACCCTCACCCAACAAGCAAGTGTTGCTACTCTTACCCTCAACATTCTCATTTTCCAAGACTTTGTGGCCACCTCTACCCTGAGCAACACTCATACCTGTTCCTTTCACACAAAGTTAACTGCCTTTATCTTTTAGGCCTACCGTTATTACAATACTTAGGTATATATCTAGCTGACTTTTTCAATGGGGTTAAATGGCAAGGCTTCACGCTTCAGCATCCTCACCTACCTAGGCTTGTAGTCACCCCTACCCCAACCTCAGTACTTTTACCTACCTAGTCTCTGTTGCCAACCCCTTACCCCATTCTCATCTGACACGGCCTTCAACACCCTCATCCAACAAAAATGTGTTAGCCACTCTTACCCTCAAGGTTCTCATCTTCCAAGTCTCTGTGGTTACCTCCACCCTGAGCATCACTCAATAGATATGCCACCCTTACCCAGATCTGACACGGCCTTTAACACCCTCACCCAACAAGTAAGTGTTGTTACTCTTACCCTCAACGTTCTCATTTTCCAAGCCTCTATGGCCACCTCTACCCTGAGCATCACTCTTACCTGTTCCTTTCACATGCAGTTAACTGCCTGTACCTTTACGCCTACCATTATGACTATATTCCGGTATATAACAAACTGACTTTTACAATGGGGTTAAAAGGCTAGGCTTCAACATCCTCGCCTACCTAGGATTGCAGCCACCCCTACCCCAAAACCACCCACCTCCATGACCACTCTTACCATCAAAACATCCAACATGTGGCAATGACCTCACAGCTCTCACCTGCAAAGTCTGTGTGGCACCCTTATCCTCCACAACCCCCAGACCTGTTCCCAGCCTTATCCTCCACCCAATCCTCACCTGGAGCCTCTGGGTCCAAGCTTAAAGTTTACACCTCCCACATTTGAAAATGTCCTCAGCACCATCACCAGCCAAGGCTCTTGGCAAGCGGGTAAAGCCCTAAAAGCTGATGACTTTACAGCTGAATTCTCTAAGACCCTACAAGATCACAGTGCAACCACATTATGGGCAGCATAAAGCCATATCTGGGGGAAGGTGGCCACCTACCAGCTGGAAATGAGGCCTATGTCTAATTTTTACAAGCGCCTTCTGGTATTGGCAATTTGAACTACACTGAGAGGAGTACTGAAATAGGGTCCTATGATGTTTTTAAAAAGCTACTGTATGTAGAACACCCTACTGGATCCTCCCACCAGCCGTGATCTGCCTGCATTGCATAAAGAAGCACAGAGACCCAGTGATGACATGACTGGATCTAATATAAGGCATGTAATGAACATAGAAAGGTTTTTGGTTGTCACCAGGGACAAGAAGTGAAGAGAAATCTCTCTAATGGAGCTTCAGATAGAAGAAAAACACAGCAGGGTTTCTAATCTTTCCTTATGCTATCCAAAACTAAAAATATAAATTTTTTGCTGGACATACACTTTAAGCCATGATTGGCATTAAAAATTGGTGACAGCAGATATATATAGATAACATATATAGATGATGTATATTTACCTTTGTCCCACAGAAAATATAGCACCTTCCTTATAATTCCAGAATTGTTCCACAGCCGCAATATAGAACGTCCTTGTGATCCCATCACTTGAGTGAAGGAAAGTCAACAGCTGAAGAAGAACCAGGGGCCCCATTGAGGATCCTTTTAATCCTGAAGGTCTCCTTACGTTCGCTTAATAAGTTGATACCATTCAAGAAAATTTTTCTGAAAAGGAAGGAAATCCCACATCAGGAAACCAAGGGTGTGGCGTGTGCTGCACTGCCCTTTGATGCCTATTGCTAATAAGGAAAATTGGCACTGGCATAACACAAAAAGTGACGCGGCTATTGAGGTCCGGGCTTAAATATTGATAGCTGAGAAAACAATTCAATGATGGATGAACCTCTGATGACAAATGTCTTCAATAGGTAGTCCCAGCCTGCACCCCCTCTCTACAGAAAAATGCACACATTTTGCATCCCTGGTACCCAACCTGTGGTCCAAGAGCCACACTCACTTAGCATGTCTCCAGTCTCCAAAATCTCCTATAGCATGTCCCAGTCTCCAACAGATCCTATAACATATTCCCAATCTGCAACAACTCCTATAACTTGTCCCCTGTCTCCAACATGTCCTATGGCATGTCCCCTGTCTCCAACATGTCCTATGGCATGTCCCCAGTCCCAGTCTCCAACATCTCCTATAAACATATCCCCAGTCTGCAACAACTCTATAACTTGTTCCCAGTCTGCAATAACTCCTATAGCACGTCCCCAGTCTCTAACATCATCTATAGCATGTCCCCAGTCTCCAACAACTCCTATAGCATGTCCCCAGTCTCCAACAACTCCTATAGCATGTCCCCAGTCTCCAACAACTCCTATAGCATGTCCCCAGTCTCCAACAACTCCTATGGTATATTCCCAGTCTCCAACATCTCCTATAAAATGGCCTCAGTCTACAACTCCTACGGGGAGTCCATAGTCTCCAACAATTCCTATAGCATGTCCCCAGTCTCCAACAACTCTTTTAGCATGTCCCCAGTCTCCAACATCTCCTATAAAATGGCCTCAGTCTCCAACAACTCCTATAGCATGTCCCCGGTCTCCAACATCTCCTATAGCATGTCCCTAGTCTCCAACAACTCATATAGAATGTCTCCAGTCTCCAACAACTCCTATAGAATGTATCCAGTTTCCAACAACTCCTATAGCATGTCCCCAGTCTCCAACAACTCCTATAGCATGTCCCCAGTCTCCCAACAACTCTTATAGCATGTCCCCAGTTTCCCAACAACTCTTATAGCATGTCCCCAGTCCACAACAACTTCTTCTATAGTATGTCCCCAGTCTCCCAACAACTCTTATAGCATGTCCCCAGTTTCCCAACAACTCTTATAGCATGTCCCCAGTCTCCAACAACTCCTATAGCATGTCCCCAGTCTCCCAACAACTCCTATGGCATATCTCCAGTCTCTGACAACTCCTATAGCACGTCCCCAGTCTCTTATGGCATGCCTCCAGGCTCAGACCATCGCCTGTAGCAGGCATCCAGTCTCCAACAACTCCTATAGCATGTCCCCAGTCGTCAACAACTCCTATAGCATGTCCTCAGTCTCCAACAACTCATATATCATGTCCCCAGTCTTCAACAACTCCTATAGCATGTCCCCAGTCGTCAACAACTCCTATAGCATGTCCTCAGTCTCCAACATCTCCTATAGCATGTCCCCAGTCTTCAACAACTTATATAGCATGTCACCAGTCTCCAATACCTGCTATGGTATAACCGGTTTAAAACAACTCCTGTAGCATATATAAACTGTGCAACTAAAATAAATGCAAACAAAAACCATAACCAAAAACATACGAAATAAAAGAAACAAAATACAACTAACATAACAATAGCGATGGCAAAAGTCCACACGTGCTGCAATAGTTCATACAATTCTATTCAGACAGATCCAATGGGTGATGTGAGTCCCGCACCAAATAAGTCTCCACCACCATACAGAGACAGCGAAAGGCTTACCAAAAAATATATCACTCAAGTTATACGGAAGTCATATAATGCACAATATAGTTGTGGCCAATGTTACACAAGGCTCCAGGCTCCCATCCACTAGATTGCCACCCGGGAGGAAACCTCACTTGATGCAATCACCTCCGGTCATCTCACAATGCATGTTAGAAAAAGAAAAGGAACAAAACGCTCCACATAGTGTGAAACCCAACAAACGTTTTTTTATTAAAACAACTCAGAACATCTCCCTTTGGATCTGTTTGATTGAAGTGTCATTTTATGGACTATTGCATCAAGTGTGGACTTTTGGAATCTCTATTATTTTGTATGTTTTTGGTTATGGTTTAGGTTTGCATTCATTTTATAGCACAGCCCAGCTGACATATGAATGTTGGTGCTATGTTAAATATCTCATACCATGCTAGCAGCATCCGATTTTATAATATGTATCGGTTTCTTTCAAATGGATCGTCTCCGATAGCATGCCTCCAGTCTCCAACAAGACCTATAGCATGTCCCCAGTCTCCAACAACAACTTCTATAGCATGTCCCCTCCAACAAACCTATAGTGTCCCCAGTCTCCAACAAGACCTATAGCATGTCCCCAGTCTCCAACAAGACCTATAGCATGTCCCCAGTCTCCAACAAGACCTATAGCATGTCCCCAGTCTCCAACATGTCCTATAGCATGTCCCCAGTCTCCAAAAACTTCTATAGCATGTCCCCAGTCTCCAACAACTCCTATAGTATGTCCCTAGTCTCCAACAACTTCTATGGCATGTCCCCAGTCTCCAATAACTACTTTAGCATGTCCTCAGTCTCCAACAACTCCTATAGAATGTTCCCAGTCTCCAACATCTCCAATAGCATGTCTCCAGTCTCCAACATCTCCAATAGCATGTCCCCAGTCTCCAACAACTTCTATAGCATGTTCCTAGCCTCCAGCAACTCCTATAGCATGTCACCAGTCTCCAACATCTCCTATAGCATGTCCCCAGTCTCCAATAATTCCTATAGAATGTCTCGTTTCCAACTCCTATAGCATGTCCCCAGTCTCCAACATCTCCTATAGCATGTCCCCAGTCTCCAACATCTCCTATAGCATGTCCCCAGTCTCCAACAACTCCTATAGCATGTCCCCCGTCTCCAACAACTCCTATAGCATGCCCCCAGTCTCCAATAACTCCTATAGAATGTCTTGTTTCCAACTCCTATAGCATGCCCCCAGTCTCCAACATCTCCTATAGCATGTCCCCAGTCTCCAACAACTCCTATAGCTTCCCCCAGTCTCCAACAACTCCTATAGCTTCTCCCCAGTCTCCAATAACTCCTATAGAATGTCTCCAATCTCCAACTCCTATAGCATATCCTCAGCCTCCAACAACTCCTATAGCATGTCCCCAGTCTCCAACAACTCCTATAGCATGTCCCCAGTCTCCAAAAACTTCTATGGCATGTCCCCAGTCTCCAACAACTACTTTTAGCATGTCCCCAGTCTCCAACAACTCCTATAGAATGTTCCCAGTCTCCAACATCTCCAATAGCATGTCCCCAGTCTCCAACAACTTATATAGCATGTCCCCAGTCCCAACTCCAACATGCTCTCCAACATCTCCTATAGCATGCCCCCAGTCTCCAACATCTCCTATAGCATGCCCCCAGTCTCCAACATCTCCTATAGCATGCCCCCAGTCTCCAATAACTCCTATAGAATGTCTCCAATTTCCAACTCCTATAGCATGTCCCCAGTCTCCAACAACTCCATGTCCCTAGTCTGAAACAACTCCTATAGCATGTCCCCAGTCTCCAACAACTCCATGTCCGCTAGTCTCCAATAACTACTTTAGCATGTCCCCAGTCTCCAACAACTCCTATAGCATGTCCCCAGTCTCCAACAACTCCTATAGCATGTCCCCAGTCTCCAATAACTCCATGTCCCCAGTCTCCAAAAACTCCTATAGCATGTCCCCAGTCTCCAACAACTTCTATGGCATGTCCAACAGTCTCCAATAACTCTATAAGAATGTTCCCAGTCTCCAACATCTTCTATGGCATGTCCCCAGTCTCCAACAACTTCTATAGCATGTCCCCAGTCTCCAGCAACTCCTATTTTATTTATTTCAGGTACTTATATAGCGCTGTCAATTTACGCAGCGCTTTACATATATATTGTACATTCACATCAGTCCCTAACCCTCAAGGGGTGTACAATCTAAGGTCCCTAACTCACATTCATACATACACATACTAGGGCCAATTTTAGACAGAATCCAATTAACCTACCAGCATGTCTTTGGAGGTGGGAGGAAACCGGAGCACCCAGAGGAAACCCACGCAAGCACAGGGAGGACATGCAAACTCCATGCAGGAGGTGCCATGGTCGGGAATCAAACCCATGACCCAATTACTGCAAGGCAGACGTGCTAGCCACTAAGCCACTGTGCCATCCTATAGCATGTCCCTAGAAAATTTGACGCAGGAGGAGTACTGTGATCTCTGTAAAAGGTTACATACAGATGGAATTCTTGCACTGACACTGCACTGAGCACCTAAAATGAAAAATATACAATATCTGATAGATCTGACTTCATGGATTTAAAGGGGTCTTATGTACACAATCAGAAAACTCTCTCTAAGGAATACTGAATAAAAAGGGGTTTGTGAAAAGAAAAACTGAACCCCCCCCCCCTCTATTTGTTTGGGGTAACCTATGTGCAACAACATTAGGATCCCTCAGTTTTGGCCAAATGCCAAACAAAAACACCCCGGGGGTGCAGCAGAGTCAGCATTGTTATCGGAATAATGGCACCACCAAGGGGTCTACTTGTAAAGGTTTTCACCCAACACACATTCACACAACATTCACACGATTAAAAACCTTTATTTTGTAATTAAGATTCTCCATCTCTATCATTACTTGTTGCTGTAAAACCAAAATGATAAAATATCTTAATACTACACCCTGTTCCAAATTATTATGCAAATTCTATTTAAGTGTCACAAAGATGAAATATGTTGTTTTTCAGTGTAACTCATGGATGGCATTGTGTGTCAGGGCTCTTTTGATCACTGAAAACAATCTGGGACACCTGTGATAATTAGATTGGCCGGTGAGCCCAATTGAAGGAAAAACTACTAAAGGACGGCGTTCCA